TCTCTCACATTAGCATTGGGTGTGCCAGTAAAAATACAGCTGATTTTCGAGTGCTCTTGGGTCTAACTACGGCCCAGCTGCCACTGTTCTTGGTTTTCTCCTGAGTTTCGGCAAAGGCTGATGATAGGAAATGCTTTCGTGGGGAGTTATTGCAAATGGGCTAGAGTTGAAGAGTTCGGGAACACTTGGGCCATTTGGACTAGGGCGCGCGGGTGGTTTGCCATGTTTGCAGTAGTCCCATTGTTAATTTAATACCCAGCGTTGTGGATTCGGCCTGCAGTGGAGGTCGGAGGGAGGCTTGTGTCATAGATTCCGCCAGAGTCGTTCTTGCTGAAGCTATTTTCTTGCTGAGTATTTGCTCAACCACTGCTGCCAGCCTTTCATACTTCCTAGACAGTGCAGTTACGCTGTTAAGTAATGGAACGGTATTAAACTTTGTGTAATATCAAAATGAGTGCCCGGCTGCTGGACAGCTTAAACTCGTCTGGCTTGATGTTCCCGCATTTTGCATGGAACCAAGTGAAGCAGTGTGCACATACATGAAAGTCCTATGTTGACCACCTTATTCCGCGTTCCACAAACGCCTTTATGCTCAACGTGGCCGCCACTTTTATCATTCAGGTCACGGGAACTGTGCTGACTGTTACTCCACTCCTGGATCGTATATTTATCGTTCCAGCGTCAAGGGCATTTTGCCGAGACAGACGGCTGTCTCGCTACTTCCCTCTCGCGGTCGCGCGCCGATTGCTGACTCATCGAGCGGTCATCCTATGTTTGTGCGACGCAAGCACATGAAGACGCAGCGTCTATTGATCTGATTGCGTCTCATGGCGAGGTCCGTGGGGCGTTGGCAAGCGCTAGATTCACAGCTGTGTTTTGTGAATGAGCGAACAAACTACCTGTGGCTTTTTTACTCTACGGCTTGCAGAGATGGCTGCATGAGCGTTTGAGAGTCCTCAAACAGCTCAGGAATTAGGTAGTTACACGCGCAGGTCTCGGCGAAGAATGTGCAAAGACTGTGAATCGGATAAACAGTATGATCCATACCATTTAGATCCAAGAGGTGGGAACCACTGAGTAGCCGTCGTCGAACTGGTTCGAAAGAAGCCACAAATAAGAATATGTGAGGAAAATTTGAATGGAAACCGCCGGTGAGACGAGAGCGGAGATAAGGTGCTGCCGTACGGCTCACATTCGTCGAAGCATAAAGTCTTTCTAACGAAGCGCCATTATGTGGTCACTCACATTGCGGACTTAAACTTGTTTCTGGCTGATTCATCAATGACGCGGACAGCGCGTCCCCACGGCTTGAAGCACGCCAATAGTCTGAGGAAAACCGAGACTGATACTGTTACGAATTTTGCGGGGAATCCATTAGCTGTCCATGGAAATGGGAGTGACAACCGATAGTCACCACTCAGAGTTTGTCCTTTCGCCAGGCTGCGGTGAATAGAATAGTTGAAGTGGTAGCGGGTTAGTCACGTAATCTTATATCTAACGGCGAGGATAACCGATGAGTTAGGCGTTGGATTCTGCCTTACATTTGCTATTTCAAATGCATCCAAGTACAAACAAAGCACAACAAACAGCAACGTTGCTACGTCCGACTGTCTTAATGCTGCCTCACATTTAACGAGGCTGTGTACCACAACTTCCTCTCATAACATTTCCTCCAATCTTGTCTCTACTGTCCTAGAAACTTGATATGTGGTTAGATTTCCGAAAATGATATGTCTGTGGGGAGAATGACATCCTACGGGGTTCACGTTTAAAGAGCATAGGTTCGTCTTGTCAGGTATGTCACAGCCGACGTCTTCCATGACATAGGCCTAACAGCCACTGAGATTGTTACCGGTCTTGCTTTCCCACGAAAGCTTTGACAAATGTACATTAGCAGATGCAGACGCGCTGTGCCGTTTGACTGCCTTCATCCCGCCCTGCTTCGTAAAATTTTTGCTGTGAGTGAGCATGGAAACCTTCAGGAAGTAGAGGCAGCAATTTAACCAATTCATCTTACCCTTCACTTCGAACCACACATCGCTTACACCACATTAGTAGCTTAGTTACGAATCACTGTTCGCCCTTTTATGTTTCCAATATTGTCCACGCCTTGCCCCGCAATCAATTCTCTTTCATGGCTCGACGCTGCGTACTAAGGAAGAAACCTAGCCTAAATCGGACATATTGATAATGTGATTATTGCTATTGCTGATATTGATAGCAACTCTGTGGGTGGTTCCCTACGCAACTTCGGATTATGTGTACAGGATTGATTTATTGGGTATTCGGTTCTGCTTCTAATGAGAAATCTCTGATGGTGTGCTCTATAGCATCAGTTTATTTTACAAAGATTATAAGAGCAAAGGAAGATGAGTGCCTTTCTTCAACTTACTCAGGCAAAACTAATATCCACGGTTTTCGAGAATACGAACCGAGATAAACTTATAAGCATTCCTGTAGAGTATGAAAACTGGGGTTTACTAACTTGATAAATTGTTTGTACGTCATTCACTAAACTGCTGAAGGAATGCACACTGTACTAAGTGATACTTACAGCATGAGCTGATTTCATCACGTTTTAGGTTTGCCCTTGTAGTGCACCTTAAAACACACACCTTCATTATTATGCAACATTGGATTTTACTGTTGTTTTAAACTTCGAAACGTCCATTTGTTGTACTGACGACATTTCCGTTTACACAAACAGCTTTGGTAAGTACCGTGCTACACCGCTTCTTGCCCATGTTGATTCACTTCCCACATTTTTAGTTTGCATAATACACAATGGGTTCAGTTGCCTCCAACTTCTATACTGTCCCGTATATGGCATGTCTCTTACGTGTCACTGATTACCGACTTGTATCTCAGGCGTCACCCAACATCATCCCCTCTGCAAGCTCGTTTTTGTGACCAGCCTCGTCTTGCTCTAGCAAGGCCTGTCACCTCATTACAGGCGACGACCTTGAAGGTCTCAGATTCCTATTTACTCCCTTGTTGGCACCTTTTCATTCGCATTCCTTTGATCTTTTCACTGGTTGTCTGTATGCAGCTAATTGAGAATACACGAAATAAACTGAATTCAAGTTGTGTCGCCTAAATAATGTTTATTCTTGCTATCCTAATGATCATGAATCAGTAGACAACGATTCACGAAAACTCGTAATCACAGGCCAAACTCATAACGGTGGAGTACTAATTGATAGAGCAACTTTTTTTAACCAAAATGCGGTCCATGACTATAAGAGACACGGTGTTGTCTATTTCAACTGAACAAACAGGTAGGTAGGGTGTTGCACACACTTATTGATAGTGATTCTAGGATGTGATATAGGGGACTCGCCACTCGTGTAACATACATTTTGCAAAACCACCGTAAAAACTGATATGTGCTTATGATTTCAGTTAGTGAAATACTTTCAATGCAAAACTGACCCATGTTTCGTTTTTATGCTAAATTATATCAAGACATTCTAGCCAATGCATGTGTCGTGTTCAAGAGAATGTTTTCCTTGTTGGCACATTGTATACATAAAGCGGATAACAATTATTCGTGCTGAAGACATTTGGAAACTAAATGTATAAACTTTCTTTAAGTCCACTGCTGTACGCAATTGTGTAGATTTGACCTTTTCGTGATAGGTAAATGTCAGGCACCGTAGAAATCATTTTCGTGAATTAGGTTCTGTACAATGTTCACAATTTACTGCCCCATATAGATGACATTCTTGTGACGTACGACTGATTGGTGTATACATGAACTGTTGGTATATAACTGCAATGAAGTAGTTTGTCTTTGTTAACATTGACTGTTCTTCACCGCCATAGGGAGACAAACTGATTCAGCTGATGACAAATTAAGTGGGTCTGTGCCCCCCCCCCCTAATCCACAGTCCATTGGTGGAATCCAAGGATTCACAGAAACACGTATATTTCCGTGGTTCTCCCCTTAGAGACGGCTTGTCGAGGTGCTTTAGCAGCTTTTAATTACCAACTCCATTGCAGCGCTGCATTTGCACTAACTGCTTTCGGACTAACTCCAGTTCTGGTAAGCTGGGAAAGGCCAAATAACAAAGTAAACTGGAGCTGATGGAGTTTATATTTCCTCCGTTAGGCATATCCACTGCTTTGCGCATACGGTCATGTGGTAAGTTCCGGACGAACGACAAAACCTGCATTGATGGGCTAAGGTAACAAAATTTGGATACTGGCTCACAGGAAAGCGAGTTCGGTGTGCTATTAACAGGTAGGCAGAATAAAATATGGTAACTTGACAAAGTATCCGGAAAGGCTCATCAGTGAGCAGTTTTTGGAGTAATTCGTAGAGTTCGGTTTTTCTTTTTTCTATGTATTCCATTGATTTTAAAAAAATTATTGTGGTACCAAGGTATAACTGTAACCCAGTTGTACTACAATTTTAATAGGGATTATTAAGCAAACTTGCTAAGGCGCTGCATGCTTCTCTATCTATATCATCTAATTAAAAGTATTAGATTTTGTGGCGTTGCATAGTGTCCACACTTGAAGTACGACATATTGAGCATTCCATAGCTAGGTAGTTCCACAGAATGGAAGGTAGCCGCAATACTGGCATGCCCTCTTTTAGCATTATTGGTTGTGGTGGCTAATTGGAATGCCGTTGTATTTTCGCTTCGCTGTTCTGGCACGTCTACAAGGATTCCGACAACTCACAATGTTTCGTTACAAAGATGGCTTTGTTGCGTGTATACCGTTTACCTCCTCGTGGATTTACAATATGCCAGGCAGTTAACAGACTAGAAGGGGTGGCGCGGACGCTTTTATTGCAAACGAAATCAAAAGGGATATATAACAACTTAACCGCTACTCGGTGACTCATTAGGACACGTGATAACTTGACTCCTCTCCCTGACCAAGGAGTGGGACGTGGGGAGTAAACAAGCAGCACCCGCAATCTCTTAACTGTGCCGATTGTTTAGCTTTGGCCACTGATTTAGTCCGACTTGTCGCTTTACGTGTCCATCCTATTCATCCAGCCGTTTAAAAATGACTGCTTGATTCAGAGTTTTTTCTACATCTACATCTGGTTTAGTTGTTGGGAAAAATTCCAGTATGAATGTCACTAACCACATCTCGACCTTTTATTTAGAGGACTCATATTTGTCGCTCTGATTCAGAGACACAAGCTAAAATCGTTCGAAGTCAAACAAAACTCACCTACTTTGGTTTCTTTTGGGCTGGCCAATGGCCCCCAACGTCGACCCTGATGATGTCATATGAAGTTGAACCGATCTGCCCTCCAGTTTGAGACGGTGGGGTTCCTTGTAAGTAGGTTCACTTTCAGAACGCGTGCCGAACTGCAAATAACAGGCCCACACGCTTCAAACTTTAGCAGATAATCCCAAGTCAGCATGGATGAAAAGGTAAATGTGTTTCACCAGTAGTCTTTATTTTACAGTGTTTATGGTCTCAACTTCCGTATGTAACCGGAATGCAATAGGATAGCAGGTCATAGTGTATAGAATGTACGTACAAGTGAACTTTCGACTACAAAACAGTTGATGAAACATTATTCAAGGTCAGTGTAGTGTCATCCGCGAAATGCAATTCCTCTGGTGATCTACTAAGAACCAAAAGGCGTCCTTGTTGATACATTGATTATTAAGGCGTTTAGAACACGATGAGAGAGTTATATGCCCAACTCTACGCATACACGAAGCTGTGGCCATGCTGATCCCTTTAACCTATCCTCTGGGTTTGCGTAACCTTACTTACTAACCGCTTACGTCTCAGTCCCCCAACAAACTACTCGTGGTTGCACAATTTTGGTGGAAATTCTTTAGAGTTGCGCTCAGTCAGACAAATTTAACACAGCTGTTGCTTTCTTCAGATGATCTCCTAAGACGTATTTTCATCCGAGGGATAAAGCCTGTAAACCATTGGAGCGGTGATTGAGACCAACGGAGGAGAAGAATACAACAACCGTCATGACTATTTTGGTCAGAGTTGGAAGCTATGCCAAGGCATTGTAATGTCATTTTCACGTTCCCCTCTCTTAAATACCCAGCGCTTTAGAGGAACCAATTTCCTTTGACTATGCGTTACATGCGCCTTCACCTCTAGATCTGCTTGGTTACATTTTGCCTCAGCAATCAGAAATTATGGTCATCGAACTTTTAACATGCATTCGTCTTTTTCGCACGCTTATCTATCAATGACCGGAAGCTAACCCAAATTTAAGTAAGAAATCACTAGGTTTTCTGAATCCCCTCCCCTCGTATTAATATTTGACTATGCCGACTTGAGTGCCGTTTTGTTACTGAACACGAAACGTCCAGTTACGGATGGGGCGTGAAATGTCCGAAATTAAAGGTCTTGTGGACGGATGCAAAATTTGGTTTTTCCAAGTGTTTGCTCACATTTGTGATCCATAAGGTCATTTCTATGTTACGCCACGATTGCAGTGTAAAATCTAGTGTCTCACTCATATGAGAGCTGTTTTCGGATTTTCCTAGTTCAAGTATTTATCTAACAAAGCTGATGGAAGTCTAAGGACGTGCGCCATAAGTGATATCTAATTTTCCTGACATGTTATCGACGCTGATATCATAATGTAGTGTATCCCACTCATCCGAACCGGTTGTCGCGGCCGAAGCGCATAGAGGCAATGATTTGCTACCGCAGCGAACTACATTAGGAGCGCATTTCGTCGCAATACCTAGTAAAGTGTGTACTCTAAGGCTCGGAACTAATGCGTAGTGCTTAGGCATGGCGTGATGACTTCTTCCATTCTCATACTATTTACCCATGATGTAGAATATTGATGGGGAAGCAAAAAGACATGTTGGTCAACTCCATCATGATAACGTTTATGAACATTCCATGTAAGTCATAAACCAGGTAGCGTATATAAGCCTCTGCATCTAACTTGACAGAAACTTAACCATTAGAATTAGTATGGAATACTGGTTCTGAATGATCAGTTAGTAACATATTCCAACTTGCTAGAACCAGAAACCGGTATCAACTCATTTCGAAGGTTGTGAAGATATTAGTCATCCTCAGTTCCATCGTAACTGCCTAACATTCTCGTACTATGCAACGAAAAATGTTACCTTGTCTGTTGACTTTGAGGGTAGCACTCCCTTACCGCTTTGATGATTCCACGAGAAAGGACTAATTAGAGCCTAGTTGAGTTGCGCATATAAATTCATCATGATGGCAAGTAGTAGATAGCGGACGACAGACACACAAAAGTACTCGGTGCATGTAAAGTTATCCAACCTCTAAGAACTAATAATAATTGTTGGGCACAATACTAAGTTGAGAAATCACCAGCTAGTTATGCTTTGTGTCGGGCCAGAAACCCTTAAAAAGCTGTCTTTTAGAACACTTCGAACAAGGCGTGCTTTTTCAAAGTCAGGGAGTTTAGACTCAAATTACCTCTATTTTCCTAATTATTGGTTGGCGGCATCCGGTTTCGGATTTGCCTGTCACTGTGGCCAGCCACAGGACGCCTGCACCTACAGAGGGACCATGGATGGCTTGCGCTGCACCACCCACAGCTCCATCCACACAACCATATCCAGTGTAAACCCGAAAGAATAAGACCGGGCGGCATGTGGTTAGGAGCCACGTTTCATCAACGGAGCCGGCCCACACTCCTTCACAGGCAAACACAAGCACACTGTATTTGGGAATCAAGCGCACACAAGGCGGTGGCTGGACCATTGTCCGCTCCACACTGAGTGCATGGAATCACTGTTCGAGCCTAGCACGGCCACAAGGACCGTGCACCCCGTCCCCTCCAGCAACGACCAACTGTCTCCTGGAGCCAGTATGGACGAGGTAGTGGGTAATAGACCGGTAGGCACCTTGTCAACATGCACATCAAGCGCAGCCACACCGGGGTTATCAAGCAACAATCAATCACTTGAGAGAAAGATAACAAAGAAAATAAATCGAGTAATGCATAAGGAAACGGGGACATCAATCATAATGAGCATAAGAAAAGAATTCTAGGTAAGTTCACGAGGGCAGAAAGTATAGTTTACGGAAATGCCACAAACACGAACATGCTATGGGAATTGACAACAATTGGCTTAAACGACGTGTGTAAGTTTATAGAAGAGAGTACAGGTAGACATTTATATGAGAAAGAAAAGTATTAGGACAAAATTGAGTATCCACCACCCGAAATAGTGAGACATAGCATGCAAGCATGCAGTTAGTAAATCGAATGCAGCGTACCTGCAAACGCTGCGCCGGTTCTGACTACGTTCTCTGCATGACCCGTCGTCGCTTCGGTAGTGGTCCCGAGTGGCCTCGCTCATGACTCACTAGGCCTGCCTGACTCAGGCACTCGCGACCGCATGTGCTACAGCACCATGCGCTCGATGTCGATGGAGTACAATCCATCGGTGCTTGCCGAATTATAGTAGCACGAATACAAACATACCTTCCACAAATAACGTGTTTTCTCTGTACTTAGCAACTCGTTAAGAAGCAGCTCTTTAAATATTCATCCTCAGTAAATCCAGGCGGATGCAGTTAAAACGGTTTTAATATCAGTTTTGAGGAATGTTCAGAAATGTGGGAAATTTTTTTCTTGAAGCGTTATTTTTTCCCAATTTAAAGGTTCCATCTTTATCATACAATGTTATGGTATTTATCTTTTTCCAAATCTCATTCTCCTCATTGAACTATAAAAGGACGCTCTTCTTATTATCATGCCTGACGTACCGTTCTATCTTAGCATTACTCAGCATCACCATCATCAATACAAGTTAGCCGAGGGTGAGAAAAACATTTCAACTGATGTGCCGCAAAACATAGGAGATTAAGCGATGCAAACTAAAAATCTAAAAAATAGTAACCAAATGCTAAAGATCGCATTTGAGATTGTTGTTGGAGGGGAAGCTTAAGAAGAGGAAGGGGCAAAGAGACTTACAACACAAAAGCCGTTTAGGCCGGCTCTTCTCCAAGTCATCTAGTGTAACTAACCCAAGGTGTGCATCATCCTTCTGTGCCCAGCTAGGTAGTCGGAATACACAAACCGACACCAATGAGAGACTTAATTTCTCTTCCGCATGTCATCGTTTGGTCTCCCCTCCTCTTCTACCATCCACACCCGCTGCGCATAAAAAGCACAATGCAGGAGTCGGTGTGCTTGCATGCACAACACGTGTCCTAGCCATCGGAGCTTGGTGGGTGATATAATAGTGCTGAGTGATTCACTCGCTCTTCTTACACCAGATACGCGACGCGAAAAATGAGACAAGGTACGTAGATCTGAGCAAGTAAGATGTACGGTTGGTTCGTGAAAACAAGTTACCACACCGACTGGATTTAGCGAAACCATTCCGTTCGAACCACAAGCTTCTTTACAGACAAGTGAATGCACGTCGAAAGGTGCAGCGTGGAATCGCACCAATCAGTACGATTGGTGAGTATACACACACAATGAAAAAGGCGGACAACGTCTCACGGGCCCAGTACTGGCCTACTTTCCAAGAGGTACTACCCTCAAACCATATACTTACTTCTGTCCCCACACCATCAGTGTTATGTTACATCAAATTTATAGCAAAATTGGTTCTGAAACAGCTACTATCCATGCGTACACACAGCTTTCCTGGAGTGGATAACCTTCACCCCAAAGCACTACAGGCAGCAGCCATTCACTTAGCCCAGCCTCTTGCCGGATTTTTTCAGAGAAGTCCGTCTGATCCACCTATTACCCTCCGGTAACACTTCTCTCTGCGCTTGCCAAAGTCATGGAAGCGATCATCGCTGACGTAATGATGGGCTACCTGGAAAGCGTCGGCGATGCATTATTAGGATGAGTTGGTAATTTTCTCTGCGAACAGTAGTTAGGGGTTAGAGTCCGAACATCACTGCTTGACCCTAATCGAGTGGAGTGCGACGATCTTGCGAGAGCCATTACCTCAAAAATTTTAATTTTCTCGGATGACCTTAAAAGTTGGCCGGCAATCAAGGGAATGGATGACCACAAGCTCCTCCATGTGCGACCTAGATGGGACCTGGTATTGACCGGTGAGAAATTCACTTCCATTCAATGTGGTCAAGTGACACGTTGTCCACATCCGCCATAGACACGCCTATCTCTACAAACTTGGGGCATACGATCTGCAGACAAACCCTTAAGAACTTGGCATCGGTGTGCTGGTGCAGGACGACTTCGGTTATTCCCTACAGTCGGAATCCTTTTCAAAGTGGTAACCAGCACGTTGTTAGCTTGCGGATGGCATTCGAAGTTTGAATTCATTCATCTTCTCTATGATGCTCAATGCCTACGTGCGTTCCCACGTCGAATACGCAATCCAGGCTTGACACG